CGCAGCAGCAGCCGCAGCAGCAGCAGCAGCAGCAGCAGCAGATTGAACTGAATGTGAAGAGAAGTGCTCTCGCTGCTGTCGCACAAATTGCTAACAGCCCCATAGCAGAGGTCAGAAGAAAAATAAATTAATATAAATAAATTAATAAATAAATTTATTAATAAATTAATTTATAAATAAACTAATAAATTAAGTTAATAGATAAATTAATTAATTGATGAATAAATTAATTAATAAATTAATAAATAAATATAAATACACAAAGAAAGGAAGAAACAAACAAACAAACAAACAAACAAACAAACAAACAAACAAATAACAAATAACAAATAAATAAAAATAAATAAAAATAAATAAATAAAATGAAAGACAAACAAAGGAGACAAAAGAGAAGAAAGAGACAGCGAAAAAAAGAAAAAGAAATAAATTTAAAAGAATAAACAAAAATAAATAAATAAAAATAAAACAAATAAACAAATATAAATAATATTAAGACGAACGAACAAACAAACAAAATAAAATTAAGCAATAAAACAAATAAACAAATATAAATAATATTAAGACGAACGAACAAACAAACAAACAAAGAAATATAAATAAAAATACAGACAAAGACTAAAAATAAAAATAAAAATAAAGAAAAGGGATGATAAATACAAAGAAAGCAGAAAAAAGAAAGCAGAAAAAAGAAAGAAGAAAGGAGACAGATAAAAACAGAGACAGAGAGACAGAGAGAGACAGAGATAAAGAGAGAGAGGGACAGAGACAGATAAAGACAGAGACAGAGAGGAGACAGAGACAGAGACAGAGAGATAGAGATAAAGAGACAGAGATAAAGAGACAAAGAAAGAAGAAAGAAAGATAAATAGATACATAGATAGAGAGAGAGAGGGAGAGGGAGAGACAGAGACAGAGACAGAGACAGCGACAGAGACAGAGACAGAGACAGAGAGACAGAGACGGAGACAGAAGAAAAAAGAAAGATAAAGATAAAGACAAAGAAGGAGAGAGAGAGAGAGACTGAGACAGCTGCAGACGAAGAAAACAAACAAAAGAAAAAAAAGCAAAGAAAAAACTAAAAAAATCAAAGACAGCATGCAAACAAAACAAACCATGAAAAAACGCAGCAACTGCATCAGCTTCAGCAGCAGCAGCAGCAGCAGCAGCAGCAGCAGTGCTGCTGCTGCTGTATATATGTGTATATATGTATATATATATATATATATGTATAACTGCATAATGAACGTATGCATTTAATATAAATATATAACAAACATATGAGTCTTACATATATATATATATATATATATATATATATATATATAACGAATATATGCATTTATATAAATATATACATAACAAGTATTTATATTATTTGGTGTATACACGTTATTAAATGCTTATATTATAAATGGATGTAGAGTGTATAAAGAAGAATAGAAAGAAGAAGCAGAAAAAGAAAAAGAAATTAATTTAAATTTTGTTTTTATTTTATGTTTAAAGTTTTATTTATTTGTATTATTTTACTTCTATTTCTTTTGGTTGTTTATTTTTTTGTTTTTGTTTTGTTTTATTGTTTGTTCATTCCTCTTCTTGTTTGATTTGTTTATTTTATATCTTTATTTTATTTATTTTAATTTATTTTAATTTATTTTAATTTATTTTAATTTATTTTAATTTATTTTCTTCTCTTATTCTGCTATAGGGCAGGGCTGGCACGGCCTGTGCAGAGAGATAACAGAGCAACATCAAACACAAACAGCATACGCAAGTGTACGTTTAAACAATTAAAACAAATTAAAATTATAATTAAAAATAAAATAAAAGAAAGGAGGTAAAGAAAAGAAAGCGAAGAAAAAGAGCAGAGAAAGACAGAAAAGAAAAGCAAAGAAAAAATATAGAGGCAAACAAAAGCAAATAAAATATTTATTTGTCTTCTAATTATCAATTAAATAAATACTCTTAATTTTGCTGCTGATGCACCCGCCCTAAGGAGACACTAGCATCGACTTCAGGGTTTAGGGTTTAGGGTTTAGGGTTTAGAGAGTATTGTTTAGGGTTTAGTGTTTAGTGTCTATTGTTTAGGGTTTACTGTTTAGGATTTAGGGTTTAGAGTTTTAGGGTTTAGGGTTTAGGGTTTAGGGTTTAGTCTGTGTTGTTTAGGGTTTAGTGTTTAGGGTTTAGGGTATAGGGTTTGTGGTTTAGGGTTTAGGGTTTGTGTACCGGGTGTATGTACACCTGCAGCCTGCAGATGTTTATATTTGGGATTATCCGCTTGATTTACATTTCTGTCTTTCTTCTCTCGTTGGATGGCCGACTTGTATTATTTCTGTTTGGCGTTTAGACAGCAAAGGACGCGCTTCACCCTGTGAGTTTCAGGGGTTTTACCTCCCTATACACCTCAGATATGCTGAGTTTTAACTCCCTATACACCCCAAATATGCTGAGTTTTACCTCCCTATACACCCCAAATATGCTGAGTTTTAACTCCCTATACACCCCAAATATGCTGAGTTTTACCTCCATATACACCTTAAATAATTACATACTTGAGCTGCCTGTACACCCCAAATATGCTGAGTTTTACCTCCCTATACACCCCAAATATGCGGTATATTTGAGCTGCATATACACCCCAAGTCTATGCAACGGGAACAGCTCCAAGTAGTTATTCTTTTCGAATTCTTTTTAAAAATTTTTCTGTTTTAATTCTTTTTAATTGCAGATGCCTGTGGGCGTGTTTGTTTGCCTGTGAGCGTTCAATAGACTAAAATCCTTTTTCTTTCTTCTTATTATTCTTTTTCTTTTTCTTTTTATTGTTTTGATTGCAGATGCATTCGGACGTGTTTGTTTGCCTGTTAGTGTTGGATATCACGATGTTATTTGCAATACGTGGAGGCCAGTGGGAGACGCGGGGGAAGAGTTAGCAGGTGAGAGCGAAGAAAGGCAGAAGAAGTTCAGCTGTACAGACACCTCGTTGAGACAACATGCTAGAACCCTTTACAATGGTGGCTAGCTAGCTAGCTAGCTAGCTAGCTAGCCACCAACACGGCTAGCTAGACGCTCAGCTAGATAGAGATATAGGCACCCAGCTAGATAGATAGATGGGCAGCTTGCGTGCTAGGTCGATCCACAGCTAGCTAGCTAGTTAGAGAGGTTCTTAGCTAGCTAGCTAGTTAGAGAGACTCCTAGTCTGCAAGCTAGTTAGAGAGGTTCCTAGCTAGCTAGCTCGCTAGCTAGCTAGGCTAAACAGCAAGCTGTCTAGATGCCTGTTTCTAAATGATGGCCTCCAAAGACACATATGCACCATTCTGAATAGCCAGGTACCTTCCTAGCTAGCTAGCCGGTTGCATTTCTAGCTAGCTAGCTAGCTAGCTAGCTAGCTAGCTAGCTGTGTGTATAGAGTGTCTGTAGTAAGCTTGTGAGAGTGTGCCTAGGGCGCTTGCTGGAGAGGCAAGAAAGCTTGGGTGAAGCTGCTTGGCCTACTTTAGAGAATATAGAAAGAGGGCAAATGACAACGTACACCTCAGGGCGTGTGCTGCTGCGTTTAAATGTAGTAAGCCGCTACTTTGCTGAAAATGGGGTTACTGACACCGTGAGGCGAGCTCCTGCTGCTGCTGCTGCTGCTGCTGAGGAAGAAAACATAAAAAAACAAATTAAAGAATGCAACGCCCTCTTTATGCAATATTTACAGTCTAGACAACAACACACACGCGCCAATGCTGCTATCATCTAAGGCAACAAATTCGCGGCGCTGAGAAACCGGTACAAATTTATTTTTTTTAATTTGCGCTCTCTTGGCTGATTCCAACAATAAATGTATAAATTAAACTTAATTTTAATCAATAATTCATAAAAGAAAAGAAGAAGGTGACGAAGAAGAAAATATTCAATTTCGTTCAACTCGCTTACTGTCGCAGAAGAGAGCCATCATGAATGCTGAGGAGCTGCGGCAATTGCAGCAGCTTCCTTCTTTTGTTGTTAAAATTAAAACAAAGTAAAATTAAATTGCATGTAAATTATTTTAAATTATTTCAAAACTAACAGGGAGTATTCGCTCAGGTTTTAGGCGGCACCGCTCGGCAGACACCGCAGGAGTGCGGGTGTTTGGCGTGCAGTAATAGTGTGTATTTTTTTTATCTACGATCTTCGTTAAATTGTCTTTAAAAATGAAAAAAATAGAAAGAGTAAAGATATTTTGTTGAAAATTTACAAGTTTTATTCATAAAATACTCTTTTTATCTGCTTAGACTTAACGAGCGCCAGCCTACGCTCAGACGTTTCGGGGCCGGCGGCGCGGTCTGGTCATCCGCCCAACTTGCTGGGGTGTATAGGCAGTGTAAAATAGCGAGAAGTTGAACATTTGGTTCAGTATAATTAGTTTGTTGGTGTTTTTCTTGTATTTTTTGCAACCTTTTTGCTTTTTAAACCCAGATCGCACGGACAAGATGGCGCTTTCCTTCCAGAATTCACTGTTTCTGCTCGGCTGCGCGTTGGCCGCCGTTGTGTTGCTGCACCGCCCAGCAGAGGTGGAAAGTATGCAGCTAGAAGGAGCGAATAGAAGCGTGGATAGACAAGTAGATGAAGAAGATTATGCAGTTTCACCCGATTTAGACGCTGAAGGAGGTGTGAGTTTCTCTGAAATGGATGCAGATGCACTCGCAGACAAGCTCGAAGCAGATGATGATGACAGTGAATTTGCAGCAACAGGAGATGATGAAGCAGATTTAGATGAAGAAGAAGAAGACGGTCTTCAAGAAGGAGAATCAGAAGAAAGTTCTTTCCTCGAGGTAAGAGAAGAAGAAGCATTTCCATTACTATTCGTTATAGCAGCATAACAAGGCTATTTCTATCTATTCAATAATCATTTAAGACAACGTACTACTCCTGCTGATCCTTCTACTGTTTTTGCTTTTTATTCGGAGCTCTAACTGCCAGTTTCTGATAAACCTTTCTTATTGTTTGTTTCCCTCCGTCGACATAGAGAAGTAGAATAAGCATTGTATCTGTAGAATATTTGAAAGGGTATTGTTTGTTGTCTTTGCATAAACTAGAGCTAGAGAAGCAGCTCTGCATTGCTGTCTGTTTATTTATATTTATTTTTGTTTTCAGGGAGATGAGGATGAAGAAATCGAGGGTGAAGAGATTGATCTCTCTCAGATGAATGAAGAAGACGTCAGTGCTGTTATGGAGATGCTGTCTCCTGAAGAACAAGCTGCATTTCAGGAAATGTTGAATGAGCATAAAAGCAACAACAATAGAGAAGGAGAGCTTTAAATTAATAAAGAAAAAAGAAGAATGAATTATATATATATGTATATATATGTATATATATATATGCTGTCTTCATGCCTTTAGAATAATTACATCGACATAAACATCAACATAAACAACACGTCTCGTGCTTCAGCCGAGTCGGCAAGGTAAAAGAATTTAATTTAGTTTAATTTAATTTAATTTTCTTAATTTATTTATCAGGCAGAGACATCTCAGTCTATTTCAGAGTGAGAAGATCTCTACCGCCCCTGCATGCGTCTGCTATGCATACTTTTTTGTCTTTCTTTGGCGTTAAGAAACCAACTAAACTAATGCTTCATTTTTTCTCTTTTTTCTCTTCTATAGACATTCAAACAGAAGACCCCTCAATTCTATTAGCTAACGACTAAGCAGTAATAAACCCTCAGGTGTACACACAGCTCGTGAACCATAAGATATAATAAATCTACGAAAATAAATAAATAAATATATATAATATATATACACTGCATATGTATATATATATATATAAATAGCTGTATTCTATATATATAGATATATTATATTGTACAGTGTACGCCTGATAATATATTTTCTTGTTTGGACAAAAAAAGTTTGTTGGAGTGAGGTTTGAATGAAAGAGGTAAGAAAAGAATTGCAGCTTCTTTGATAGAGGGTATTATAATAATAATAATAATAATAATAAAAGAATGCTGCAGATACTAAGGAGGCAATATCTCGCCGTTAACACAGAGGTTAATTGCGTTAAGATTTTGTTCGCTCCCCTTGGCCCCCGAAAGAAAGAGAGCAATATTCTCAGGAAGCAGCAGACAATCTTTAACTCTTTCTAACTCCTTCGGCCCTCTTGCGGCCGACCACACGGGTCCAATGAATGTGTAAGACCGATGATTACCAGACACTTGAAGAGAATATCTGCTGCAGTGATGTCTCGGGTGTAGAGCTAACAAAGACAAATAAAACGCTGCTTCTCCCTCTACTCTGCGGTGTACACGCAGCACAAAGTACTTCCCGAAGCAATGATATAGCTGCTGCTGCCATACAAACGACTCACAACCATCTAAAGAAAAACCCCCTTCTTCAGCTTCTTCTTCTTCTTCTCTTAATTGCTGCTGCTGCTGCTGTTGCTGCTGTTGCTGCTGCTGCGCTCTGTTCTCTCTCCCCGCTTCTCCTGCAGCAGAAGCACTCCCGCTGCACCCACTGCTGCTGCTGCTGCTGCTGCTGCTGCTGCTGCTGCTGCTGCTGGGCTTCTTTCCAATACCAATGCGTTTCGATCCCCTGCAGTTTTCAGGTGTACAGACGAACTGAATTGTGCTGGTAGGTTTGTATTCATATCCATGTTGCTGCAGCAGATGCTCTGCTAGCTGCTGAGGAGAAGCTTCAAAGGCACAGCCGCTGTCTGCATGCAGACAAGCTAAGGGTCTCTTAAGACAGCGCGACTCATGTTGATGAATTTCGCTGTACTTTGCAGTGTATGTACACCCGAAGCTGCCAAACCGACAAGGGACATCTGTAAGACATTGTGCTAATACCTCCAAAGCCCTGCATCGTATACTTAACTCAGGAGAGCGGCAGGTAGGGCAGCTGTTAAGGCGCTGCTGGCAGCTGCAGCACAGAGTATGTCCTTCTTTACATTGATATATTGGGGGCTGCATGCGCTCCATGCAGACACCGCACTCCAGAAGCTCAAGAGCTACATTCGCCTTAGAAAGACTGCTAGAAGAAGAACTGCTGCTCTCTGCTGCTGCTGCTGCTGCTGATGCTGCACTTCCTGCACTCCCTGCTACTCCTGATCCTGCACTTCCTGCTGCTGCTGCTGTTGTTGTTGTTGTGGGTCCCGCTGCTGCTGCTGCTGCGTCCGCTTGTGGTACAACTGCTGCTGCGGCCACTGCGGCTGCTGCTGCTGCTGCTGCTGCTGCTGCTGCTGTTCCTGGGGCTGCTGCTTCTATCAATGCTCCATCGCCGCCTGAACCAGACAGCAGAACTACGTCTTGCTGCACAGCAGCAGATTCGCTGCTGAGAGAAAAGTAAGGCACGGAGGGGTGTACAGACACCCCAACTCCAGCAGGGTCTCCAACGCCTGCAGCAGCAACTGCCCCAGCAGCAGCAGCAGCAACAGCAGCAGCAGCAGCAGCATCGTGCTGACCTCCTCCTGCATCTCCGCTGCAATTCAAGCTCTGGGATATACAATAAGGCATACCAATTGCTGCGCTTCCCTCAGCAGTGGCTCTCACGTCTGCAAATATTGGGGACGGCTGCATATTGCATGTAGCAGCAGCAGCAGCTGCTGCTGCTGCTGCTGCAGCATCAATGGATATTGCGGCTGAGGGGGAGACTGATGACTCCGATATAGTGAGGGGCTCCCAGTGAAGCCGCACTGCTTGACGAGTTCGTTGGGGTGTATAGGCATCTCCCTCACAGGAAGAAGAAGAATGCTGAGGAGATTTAGGCGCGTTCTGATGCTCCGCTCGCTCCTCACAGTACTCCTTTGCGTCTGTAGTAGCCATCTTCACTGTTGCAGTAGCAGCAGCAGCAGCAGCAACTGTTGCAGCCGCTGGCTGCAGCAGCAGAAGCAGCGGCGCTCGCCGTTGCAGCAGCTGCAGCAGCTGCAGCTGCAGCAGCAGCAGAAGAGAAGCAAATCAATTCAAAGATCTTGAAATGGCAATGGGTTCACGTCCATCGAGCTTCGCATTGGTCTTTGCATTCGCTGCAACCACCGAAGGCTAGCGATATAGGTGGGGGGAAAAGTGTACGAAAACACAGCCTTCAGCTGGAATAATGATTAAAATTGTACATTTAAATAAAACTTTTACCCTTTTATTCAAAAAGAAAGAAGAATTGGAGGCGAAACGCACAACAGACGAGTCAGCCGGGGCTGAGAGCCGTTCATAGCGACAAACTGAAGATGACGAGCGTCCTGGAGTTAAGCCTCCATGAGTTTTGGGGAAAGTGAGAAGATTTAAGCAAGATAATCCATTTTAAATAAGTAAATCTTCAAAAAAGAGGTAAAAATTGCAGGATCGCAGCAGCTTCCCGCCCATCGACGGGCACCTGCGGACGCCCCCGCCGCCGAAGCGGGGGGCGCTGGTCGCTGTTTGAATTGGAGTAAACGGGTGTACAATTATTCGAAAAAAACATATTTATCTATTTCTTTATTGAAAAATACCTCTATTTGTTACAGCGGAGAGGAGGAGGCATTGCAACTGGCTTCAGTATTCCGATTGTATTTCATTGGCGTCGCTGGCAGCAGTTTGCGGTGTACGTACAGCATGAATTAATGCAATAGTTGTATATACTGCTCCATACTTCTTCAGCTTCCCCGTTTTATCTTGCATTATTTGGCCTTATCTTTTACCCTTTTACCAACATCCGGTCTAACGCTTACCTCTATTCATGAACAAACAAATACAGGAGATACTGCACGCGCACCACTAACCTCAGCAGACACCGCAGCTGCAGCAACCATGCTGCTACCAACTGAAGTTATAGCGGCACTTCTCGCCACCTTCACAGCTACACGCATCACCCAACACTGCCGCATTGCCCACAGCTTCGTTCGGAGGTGAGTGAGAAAACTCTGGCTTATCTCTGCATGCCTTCTTGCTAGGGTTTAGGGTTTAGGGTTTAGGGGTTTTAGGGGTTTAGGTGTTTAGGGTTCGGTTCTCGTTTCAGTATTTCTGTTGCATTGTTAGTGGGGTGTCTGTACGCCGCTTGTTTCTCCCTGTACTTCATTTTCTCAGCTCTTATGCAACTCCTTTTATTCTTCTTTTTTCTGCTCTCTTCTGCAGTTTCTTTCTCTACTCTTTTTCTTTATTTTTTCCTTCTCTTCTCTGCCGTTTATATTCTAATTGAAGGCTTTAATAGATCATGTACACATTGTGCTGAACGTGAAGTTGAGTGTTTATTTGTTTATTATTTATTTATACTTTTATTTATTTGCATGCAAATGTTTTATTGTTTTATTCGCAGCCTCTGGGTCGCTCTTCCCCTAGGTCGAAGTGAGGGCTCTAAGGGCTCCTTTGCACAGCCTAAGCTGTCTATAGTGCAGGTAATTCTTTTTAATTATTTCATCAATATATTTACTTGTTGCATGCACGCACCCATGCATGCATGCATGCATGCATGGATTGCTCAATGTAGCTATATGCATGCATGCATGCATGCAGGCACAGGTTGTGCAATATAGCTGCATGAATGCATGCATTGAGCAACGCATGCATGCATGCATGCATTGAGTGCATGCATGCAGGGCTTTGCTCAATATAGGTACATACATGCATGCATGAATGCATGCATGCACGACGAGCGATATAAGCTACGTTATATTACTGTTTTATTTGTTTTTTTTTGTGTTTGTTTTTTCATCAGTTTGGGGGACAGAGTTTATTTCGTGATGAAGAAGGAAGAGAAGCTTTAAATGAAGTTGTTAAAGTTTTAGTAATCGGCTTATTAAATATATTTGTCTTTGAAGTTTTGTCGTTTGCACTTGAAAGAAGCCTGAACCCTTTACCTGCTGCATGCGTTTTTTTTGCATGCATAGCGAAGCTGTGGTAGGTCTTCCTCCTTTATTTATTTAATTTAATTTAATTTAATTTAATTTAATTTAATTTAATTTAATTTAATTTAATTTGTTTTATTTTGTGTTGCTTTTTGTATTTCTTGAGGATAAAGATTAATTGTTTTAGTTTAAAAAAGAAAATTGCATGCATTGTTTTTTCTGCTAGATGTCTTTGTTTTCTGTGTTTATTTTTTATTCTTCGTTTGCTTATTTTTTTCTATCTCTCTCTCTCTGTCTCTCTCTGTCTTGCTGTCTCTTTATTTTTCTTTCTCTTTCTCTGTCTCTTCATTTATTTTATATCTATATCTATATATATATGTAAATGTATAAATATATAAATATATAAATATATAAATATATATTTATATATATTTATATA